AAGCACATGAATCTCAGAATCCAGAGCAGGCTATACTGGTGTCGATCTTGCAATGCAACTTAATTCGAAACACAAACATTAGTTAAAAAGTTCACTATTATGCCTGTAGAGGCTCTTTGGAGTTCAAGTTTCATTCCCATATCTATTGATGTAATCACATACTTGAGGAAGTCCTAATTTTTTTTGTTTCCACTACCTAAAGGCTTACTGATGGTTTTAAGAAAACCTTAAAAGCATAGTATTGGCAAATCCATATATGTTTTAGAGACTATCCTCTCCATCTGTAACTACATCTAGCAAAACTAAGTGTTTAAGGACATAGGCACATAGCCGTGTCCAACATGGTGATAATTAATTCAGTGCAAGTATACGTCATTCTGCAGACCCATATCAGTGAAACATGTAAGTATATTTTCTAGAAAGTGTGATCACTTTGCTAGTTAAATTAATAGTACTTCAGGAAATTCTATGAGATACATACTTTAATAACCAAACCATGAAGAAGAGATACCAAAAAAAAACCTGACCTATCAGTTTTTGCATAGACCGCAAGCATCATGCAGTAGCACATCACGCTTGGTAGGATTCCGAATGCTTTAATCTCTTGAAACTGCTCTTCTGCCTCTTCAACAAGCCCGGCAAAGTAGTAAACACTCAAGACTGCCTCAAGTGTTTGCTCATTTGGGTCAACTTTTGCATTATCCATCTCAACATAGGCCTTTATGGCGTCCTCAAACTGACCTCCCTGTCTAAAACCTTCAATAACACCATTAAATGAATCGCTGTTCCTTCCTATACCGGACTCAATCATCCTAGTCACGATTGCTCCTACCTCCCTATAAAGTCCACCCCTTGCATATGTATGGATCAAAGAGTTATAGGTTTCCACAGTGGGCTTACTTCCCACCTCATTCATAGTGTTAAATGCGACAAGAGCTTCCTCATACAACCCAGCTTGCCCATAAGCCTCAATAACCCCAGTGTAGGCCTTAGCACTTGGCACCAAGCCTTTTTCATTCATACGTAATAAAATCTCTTTTGCATCCTGATACAAGCCTCCTTTCCCACAAGCAAACACCAGCCCTTCATAGGTCTCCATATTTGGCTCCACATTCTCCTCCACCATATCATGGAATAAAGTCACCACTTCCTTAAAATAACCACCCTCGCCAAAAACCTGTATAAGAATATTATAAGTTGCAGCATCTGGCTCAGTGTTGCTCACTTTCATCTCAAGGAAAAGCTCACGAACATCATCATACCTCCCTTGGCCACCATACAAGTTCAACAAAATACTATAGGTACTAGCATTCGGCATGCAGCCCGCTTCTTGCATCTGCCTAAACACCCCCATAGCCTCTTTAATGGATCCCTTTTGTGCATAAGCTTCCAATAACACATTATATGACAATATATCAGGCATTTTACCACTCAGCTCCATCTCTTTCAAAAGTTCAGAAACCTTTCCAAGCTCACCTAACTTGCTAAATGTCTCAACAACATAGCTATACGTTGTTATATCAGGCAAAACCCCACTTTCATTCATAGTCCTAAACACCATCTCAGCCTCATCACCCAACCCTCTACTAGCACAAGCGCTAAGCAACGTGTTATAAGTCACGATATCAGGCTGAACCCCTTCATGCCTCATCTCAGCAAACAACCCCAACAACTCCTCCCAATCCAACCCACCTCTAGCACAAGAATTAATCACAGTATTATAAGTCAATATATTAGGAGCCACCCTCTCTTTCTTCATCCTATGCAACAACTCAAGGGCGGTCTCATACTGACCATTCCTACCATAAGCATTAATCAAAGCAGTATACGAAAACACGCTACGAGGTACATTATGAACAGGCATATCGTCAAACACCTCATGACATTTCTCAAGCAACCCTTCTCTACCCAAGACCCCAATGATAATAGTATATATATGTTCATTAGGTTTGCACCAAATTTGGCGCTGCATATATTTAAACAATCTTAAGGATCTTTGCCAATCACCCCTTTGAGCAAATTCCTTAAAAACCAAAGCAAAATCATTAAGAGAAAGCTTACTTTTAAATGCATCAAGACATCTAGCAATAGACCCTCTAGGAGGAAGACTACTTAACTTATTAATTAAGGTCTCAATATCATAACTATACTTACCCTTTTCAAGTGTGAATGATGGGTTGCCCAGAATTAGGTCTTTGGTTTTGGCTTTGAGCTTGAAATCAGAGGAGAGAGAGTAGGGTTTTGAGAAAAGGGGGGATTTTTGGGGAAATAGTAATACTGGGTTTTGAGGGAAATTGGGAAATGGGTTTGGTTTAGGAGAGAGAAAAGGTTGAGAGGAGAGAGAAAGAGTGAAGGTTAGAGTTTTTATCATGTTGGGTTTGGATGAATTTGCATCAGAAATTGGGGTCGGAAAATTAGGGTTTTTGAGGGGTTTTTGGTGTTTGAATTGGAAATTGAAGTTGCAGAGAAACGGGTGAAAGAGGAAGAAGCAGAAGAAGATGAAGATGAAGGGTAGAATTTGCAGAGGTAGTTTTGGATAACGATGACCGTTGGAAGGGGTGGCTAACTGCTATGCCCGCCCATTATTCTGTTATTGAGTTAAACATTACAGACTTAGAGTATTGTTTTCTTCAAGTTATTCTTGCTTAATTGAAATTATTTTTATAAATTAAAACTCATTTTTATTTATTCTGAGCATTATATTTGTTTGTTAAAGTCAATAATCTTTATGAGCTAAAACATATTCAAGTGAAATTATTTTAAGAAAAATTTACCAATTGTAGTCATTTAAAGTTTGTTTTTGCAAATTACAGCCATTTAAAAAAAGAAATTGTAAATTGCAACTCAATTCAATCATTTTTTCGATTTACGTGTCGAAAAATATTTCGTTAAGGTTTTAGGGGCCATTTTAGATGTTAAGGAACTAAAATGAGCTTGCAAATGGCAAAAAAGTAATGTAAGAGCCTCATTTTCACGATAAAAAATAGTGACACACAAACCGATACATTTTTATACCGTAAAACGAAGCACTTACATAATTTTTTTGCAAATATCTCAATGTTATGGTATTTTCTAACTTCTATTTATTCTCTTTAGCTTGTTGGATTACATGCTACCTCATCCTAAATTATGAAATGACTAAAGAAAATGAAAACTTGAAAATTGTATTAGTTGTTGAAGAAATATATTATAAATTTTTTTTAATTATTTTTTAAAAAAAGGAACGTAATTTTAATGGTTACCCTTGTGTTCCGGAAATGATGTATCTCACATATCCACACATATTAGTTCTCACAAAATAATGCACAAACCCTATATTTCTTTTTTCTTTTCTCTAGAAATAATCAATTTCTATAAGTTTTCTTACTTTTCTAGTGGAGAAAAAACTTTTTGCATGAAGAAGATTAGATAACGAAAAGGCTGGAAATTACATTGCACAAAGAGAATCTGGAGAGGTAAGTAAATAGCAAAGTTGTTATGCAATAATGTGAAATGGTTAGATATTTTTTTTCCCATGTTTATATCATCATATATGTGAATATGTTTGGTGGAATGTAATGTTCTAAATTTTCTTTTAAATGTTTTCGTAAAAATACTTTAATTATAGAAAATTTCATAATTCTCTAAGTTATTCAGCTCGTTTATTATAAACTTAGAAATAACTTTTAGGAAAATTTGAATTTTAGTACCTCGAATATGGGGGTAATTGAATTTTAGTACCCATCTAAAATTTTATTTTAAATTAGTACCTCCAAAATGACAAAACTATAGGTTTCAGTACCTCCGTCAAGTTCCGTTAAGTTTTCTGTTAGTGGGGCCCAATAACTAATTATTTAATATTTAATTTATTAAAAAAAAGGAAAAAAATTTGTAAAAAAAAACTAAAAAAATAATAATAATAATAATAAAAACAGCCACTGCCACCACCGCCGGCGCCGGCTTCCGGCTGTTGGTGGCCGAATTCCCCTGGCACCGGCGCTGGCCACCCCTTCCCTTTCCCTCCCTGTTTTCCCCTTCCCTGGCACCGGCGCAACCACCACCATCTTCCCTCCCTTCCTCGTTCCTGGCCGCGACACCCCACCCCTCCCTTTCCCTCCCTGTTTTCCCCTTCCCCGAAACCCTAAGCGCAACCACCTAAACCAGCCCAGCGAGAAGCTAACAGCAGCAAATCAACCCACACCGCCGCATAACTCCTCTCCCCTACCCAAAACCGTCGCCGAACTGCCGAAACCCCAACCCACACCCATACCAAAACCCACAAACAGCCGTACTCCTCTCACCCTTACCCTGAAACCAAATCAGGGCTGAGGAATTTAAGATCAACGGCTTCAATTGGAAGTGCGAAAGGTGGTGGTTTTGTCGGAGGAATTGGTGCTGGCTGGTGCGTGGGAACGAAGTAGGGGTTGCGGTGCTCTGCTAGTTGCGGGATGTTGGTGGTGAAGGCGTCGGAGGAATTGGTGCTGGCTGGTGCGTGGGAACGGAGCAGGGGTTGCGGTGCTCTGCTAGTTGCGGGATGTTGGTGGTGAAGGCAGTGGGGTGCCGAAAATTACTGTTGCGGACTGGAGGTTGAGGGGAGGTTGCTGGGCACGGGGTTGTCTACCGCCGGTGGAAGGTGGGTGGCTGGTGGTATTAGGGTTTTTTTTTCTGATTTTTTTTTTAATATTTTTTAAGTTTTTTTTATAAAATGTTTTTTCTTTTTTTTTAATAAATTAAATTATTAAATAATTAGAAATGGGCCCCACTAACGAAAAACTTAACGGAACATGGACGGAGGTACTGAAATCTACAGTTTTGTGTTTTTGGAGGTACTAATTTAAAATAAAATTTTAGATGGGTACTAAAATTCAATTACCCCCATATTCGAGGTACTAAAATTCAAATAAACCTAACTTTTATATTTATTTCCTTTGATGACAAGTATTAGTTATTCATCAAGCAAATATGTAACATTATGTTTGTCTTAGGAATTAAATTATTATGGATCGATGTATGTACACAAATAGATTGTAAATTTGTAGTTATTCTATGACAAATCCTCTCTTCTCGTCAAAAAAAAAAAAAAAAAAAAAAAAAACCTCTTGGTTCTTTCACTTAATTTTGAAATATTGATCCATGTTTAAGCAATTAGATTTTTTTTTTTTCTTGCTAGCTATAAGTTATAAGAACCTATGATTTTTTTTTTAATTTTTTTTTTCTATTCAATAATTGCAGAACTTATAGTGATCCTTAGTTTTCTTTTAGAATTATGGATGACTCGGTGTCTATGGAAGGATCTCAACATGGCCAAGGCACGGAATTTGTGCCTTTTCAAACAACTCAGGAATCACTAGAAAATCTATTGCTACATGGGCATCTAGACATTTGGGTGAAGGAGGCTAAAAAACTTCCTAACATGGATCAAATTCATAAAACCATGTCCGGATTATTTGGGGGACGATTATCAATGCTAAAATCCCATGGAACAAGTGATCCATATGTTACAGTATCCATAGCTGGTGCAATTATAGCGCGAACTTTTGTTATACCAGATAACGAAAACCCAATGTGGATGCAACATTTCTTTGTACCTGTGGCACATACCGCACCAGAACTACATTTTGTAGTTAAAGACGACGATGTGGGTAGGTCTGAGATCATAGGAGCCGTCGGTATTCCTACTAAGCAATTGCTTTTAGGGAGAAAATAGAAGGGACTTTCCCTATAATGAAAGGAAAAGGTAAGCCTTGGGAAACTGGAGCTAAGTTAAGTGTTTCAATTCAATACACCCCTGTACAAAAAATGAACTTGTACCACTTAGGTGTTGGTAACGACCCGAATATAATGGTGTTCCTAGGACATATTTTTCCTCTAAGAAAAGGAAATAAAGTTACACTATACCAAGATGCTCATTATGAAGATTGTATGCTTCCTGATATAAAGCTTGACTATGACAAAGATTTTGTTCATGGGAAATGTTGCATGATGTATTCAATGCTATTTCGAATGCCCGGCATTTGGTCTATCTAACGGGGTTGGTCAGTTGTTCACAATGTTAGACTTGTTCGCGATGATCCAAACTTATCTGGTGTTACATTGGGAGATCTTTTGAAAGGAAAAGCACAAGAGGGTGTTAGAGTTTTGGTCCTTGTGTGGGATGATCCTACTTCTAGGAAATTTTTTCATCGCACTACTGTAAGTTAATTAATTCTTTTCATACTCTGTCGTATTATCCAACCATTCCTCTCAAAGACTTCGTTTATGATATGTTTACCTTAAATTTTATTACATGCAATTAATGTTACTTATTCTTATTCGTTCGTTGATGCATAAAACTTTTTTGTCACTGTCACATCTAATCATTATATAACCATTTCATGTCAAATAGATAATAAATTAGTCGAGGCCTTAAAAATATACTTGTAGTATGTAACAAAATTATCGATTTTTATGATTATGTTATTGATAATTATGATTCTATATTATTAATATTTTTAGGAAGGCATGTTAGCAACCGATGATGAAGTGACTTAACAAATTCTTCAAGGGCTCATCAGTTCACGTAGTACTATGCCCACGATCTGGTGGAAAGGACATAGTTTGATTGGAAAGCAGGTAATACACACATAATTAGTTTATTTTTAATTGTAGAAAATTAAATTACTAATAACATTGAATTCCATTTATTTTGTACAAAGATATTGCTAGATCAAGTCAATTGTAAACTAGTAGTATGATTTATGTATATATTGTTTATGATGGTTAGGAAGCTGGAGCAATCTACACTCATCACCAAAAAACAGTTATCGTAGATGCTGATGCAGGTGAACATAAGCGAAAACTTCATTGCTTTTGTGGGAGGACTCGACCTATGTAAGGGGCGTTATGATACCCCGGAGCACTCTTTGTTTAGAACGTTACAAACTGTACACGACGATGATTATCATAACCCCAATATTGCTGTAATTATTCGATCTATACCACTTGTACATTGTTTAGATCATTCTAGTATACTTAGTTGTTGGCTGGTTCACTTGGCTTGTTTAATTGACGAGTTGGTAATAATATTTACCATCCGTGTAGGGTTCAATGAATGGATGTCCTAGAGAGCCGTGGCATGATTTGCACTGTCAAATCGACGGTCCAGCAGTATACGACATTTTAACCAACTTTCAAGAGCGTTGGTTAAAGCTTCACCTCGCGGGATTAAAAAGCTTAAAAGAGCTTATGATGATCATCTAATTCACATAGATAAGGTTCCTAATATTATTGGACAATTAGATGCTAATCACACCTGCAACAACGATGATGATGATGATATGGAGTCTTGGCATGTTCAAGTAACTTAACTACTTTACTTACAAATTGCTTAAAAATTCTTAATTATGGATTATATATTGTTTTTATTATTGTACTTGTGATGATAATCTAGGTGTTTCGATCGATAGACTCTAATTCTGTAAAAGCTTTTCCTAAGGATCCTAAAGACGGACCACAAATGGTTAGATTCTTTTTCTTGACCTATTTTTCATACATATACTCACTTCATTTCGTAACATGTGACGCACAAAATTTCCGAGATTAAAGTTTTCAATATTGTTACTAATCATGATTTTGTGTTTTATGTTGGCGCAGAATCTTTATTGTGGGAAAAATGTA